GAAAAACTTTCTTTCTGCTTAAAAAAAAAAAATAAATTCTTTTAACCACTCTACCGTTTTCCGAGATAGACTTATCGATTTGAAAACTGTTTTCAGGCGTCAGCAACGCCATACACTCGTCGGGGTTAAAAATTGCTTTTATCGTTACCTCCCGCCGCCGCCCGAGAAACATTCGTCACTTTTTCCAACTTCCAAAATGCAGTGAAAATGAAAAGCGGTAATTAATGATTTAATTGGTTTTCTCCACAGCGGGGTTGTATCAGGATCACACAAAGGCAAGTTCACTCGCAAAAAACGGAAAATAGGAATGCACTTCCCGCACCCTTTCATATGGTATTGCAACAAAACTAATACTGATTTAAAATCGTGCTTTTTAGTGTCTTTATTAATTTTTAGATAAGAGACTAGGGAGCACGAAAGAAATTTTTCTGCTGGGTAGGGAGATGAATAGGCGGTTTTATAAATAGGTCTTGGTGAAAGAGGGAATGAAACATTTCCAAGGCTAGTTTCAGAGGCTAAAAGTTTATTTTTGGAGAGTTTTTGTATGCAGGTGATATGGTTAATATGTCGACAGCATTCTGAGTAAATAATTTCTTCGGTTATGAATAGGCATAAATCACGGAGACACACACAGAAAGCGCTTTTTTAAACGAGAATGAATTTCTTTCTACAGTTGTCACATACACTCGAATTAGAAGTACATAAAAAATATTCTGTTGGCAGGCACTTCACACTCTGTATATCGTATTTTGGAGGATTTTTTCTTCAGCGAAAGCGTCTATATAATTAATTACTATGTAAATCACATATTGATCTATGAAAACTATTAACTAGGTTTTCATACTCCATGATAGCTTCAAAAGAGCTCAAAAAAATTTAATAAAACCGAGTACTTTCATAAAGTACATAAAAAATATTCTGTTGGCACTTCACACTTTGTTATATTGTATTTTGGAGGATTTTTTTTTTTCCTTGAGCGAAAGCGTCTATATAATTAATTACTATGTAAACCACATATTGTTCTATTAAAACTATTAATTAGGTTTTCATTTTCCATGATAGCTTGCATAAAGATGCCCATAATTAAATGAAACACTTATTGCTATTTTAAAGAGATCGAAAAAAACTTAATAAAACTAAGTACTTTCATGACATTTTTAACGGAAAAAACAAAGAGGGTTAAGGACGGATATTGTTAACAACATTAAAGAAGAAACTCACTTTTACACAAACACAAAAAAACAAAGAAATGATAAAATTTAAGCAACAAATTTAGGTTTATATAACACTGGGCAAAAAAATGGCTGATGTCAGTTTAACACTTCAGTGAGCCTTTATTCACAATCAGTATTTCCATAAGGAATTAAAAATAAAAGTTGATACAAATATATAATTTTAAATACTGTAAATACTACGCAGCTGACATTAAGAAGTAGGTAATGTGACATCACACTATTAAGGATATTTTCTTTCAAATATTTTAAATACATAATAAAAATAATATTTTAAATACATAATATGTAAAACAATAAATTATCTTATATAATTTAGTCATAATACTTGTTTAACCTATTTTTTAGTACAATTTTACCATACACTTAACTAAATCTATGTGTGTAAAAATCAATTGCCCATTTTGCCATTTTGATTTTGTACTCCCTTTTAATTTTAATTTATAGGCAAGTGATTTTTACTTTACTCATTCTCTACACAGCTCTATCTTCTACTACAAAACTATATTATAGAGAAGACAAAACTAATATTTTACATATTACTGGAAGTTTTCATTTCAATCTGCAAAAGGCTTTCCAAAAAGCTCAGTGGCAATAGCACATACTTGCTAATATTTCACACACTTTTTTCCAATACTTCTTCAACAGTGCAGGATTTACATATAAACTACACAAGCTATAGCTTAGGGTCTTCCCCCCCAAAAAAAAATTAAAATATAGTATAACAGACTTATACAGGGTCCCATATCTCAAATAGCTTAGGGCCTTATCAAGCCTAAATCTGGCTCTGTTCTTCAATATGGATATTTCATTCTACTACATAATGAGTACATAATATATAATAAATACAGTTTTCCTTCATTTAACAGAGTTATGTTTAACACATTTTTCAAGTTAACATGGTTTATCTATTACAACATATTTCTATTTAACACAAAGTAAATTTCTCTTAACATTACGTAAAAGCAATATTAGACAATTTTGAGATGTATTTTGTTGATAAAAAGTTCATGAATTTTGGCTGGATTTCCCCAGTAATTAATTGAGCAGTAATAAGTCACTGCTTTCAAGGAAACTGGAACTACTGGGCATGAATTTAAGCTCAATGAAACATCAGTATTTTAGTTATTTTAATCTTAGCATTGATCAACAACATAACCTCCAAATATTAATCTGCAGATTTCTAAAACCATTTTGTAGCACTGAGGAGTTAAAGAAGCAATTTTTAAATCCCCATTTAAACTTGTACGAAGCATGCATGTTTACTGATTGATTAATTAATATATTTAGCAGTTGCGGGGAAAAGCATGAAGAAAAAAAAATACTGTAGATTATTTCTGGAAATTGTCATTCCTTAATTATTAGTAATGAAGGTGTCATTGATGTCAATTATATAGTTATACAGTTTTCTTTTTAAGTACGAGTGATTCCCCAAATGAGAAACTAAGACGATAATATATATTCTAGCCTCTCCCCCCAAAAAACTTTGGAAAAACACATTTAATTTTACATAAATAAAAGCTTAATATTTTATTACTTCCTTCAGTTTATGAACACATAGTAGTTTATTAAATTCGCAGATGAACTCAATATAGATGCCACATTACTACTTCTCCACAGCACCTACATATTCTAATAAATTTAGTACAACACTAAAACTAAAAATGAATCTAATCCTTGTAGACTTATATCTATCAATCTCTAATTGCTCAGCATTAGAAACAGACTAAATTAAAAATACTGTATCTATGCCCATATTACTCAGCTGAAACACGTTTGATTTAAAGGCATAAATAAATATTCACATTATTATTTATAATGCAGCCATCAGAAATTTTTCTTTTCAATTAAAAAACTCTGCATTTAAATTAAAGAAGAAATACATTTAAAAAGTTACCAACTCCGATACCAACATTTTAACATAACTTATATTTAAAAAGCTAAAAACTTTGATAATAGGAAATAAAAATTGATAGAGACTTGCAACAATGTAAATACTTTAAAAGCATCATTTTCAGACTGCAAATATCACATTTTCTTTGAGATATTTCAGCTGACTATTGAATTAAATTAGAATATATACTTTGAATGTTAAAATATATACACACACAAACAAGGAGATGGAAAAAACTTCAAAAACAACTAGGAGATTTTCACATTGTTTAAAATGAACACATTATTTACTTATATGAAGACTGCTATAATTTAAAAAGTCTGTATTTTAGGAGAATAAAGTGTTAACCAAATAGAAAAGTTAACAATCTACAAATTAAGACATAACACCATAAATATCACCCACAGAAACATAAAATGCACAGGCATTAAAAAAAGAAACAGATCACATATTAAACTTTTTATATATTGCATTGTATCACATTAACCCTCTGAGCTGCTCAGGTTTTTAGACTTATCATGAAGGCCTGTATTTAAAGAACCTTTATTAGCTTAATTTGTATATTTACTTACTTTAGGCTATATTTTCATAAACTTACATTTATATTATTAAAGAAAGTAAGAAAGCAAAATATCGTAAATTATAAGCTAATATATCCCATGTGATAAAAAATCTCATGACCAGATAAAGCCAGCCATGGCACTCAGAGGATTAAGATAAAAATACGAAGAAAAATTAATTTCAGACAATGCATAAATTAAAATATCAATTATTTTCTTTATGAAAAAACAAGAATAAGTTATTGAACACATGTTCAGTACATAATAAAAAAATAATTTTTAGAAATCTTGCACATTATATTACCAGAAATGTATTTTTCATATGTTACATAAATTAAAACTAACAGCAGAACTTTTCTCAACATTATTTTACAACTGATTGTCAGCTTTCTGAATGTACTTCATGTGACATAATATTTAGTACTAATGATAACATTTAATATCATTAAAATTACAAGATTTGTCACAAACAAACATTTGATATTCTGTGTTGATTGCCATAGCTGGAATCCTCATGAAAATATTTAAAAGCATCAGTTTTAAGAGGATAAACTGTAAGGTTAATTTGCTGCGAAATTTTTACAAACTTTGAAAATCAAATTTAATACCCGCACAGAGGTATGTATCAACTTGAAAAACATAAAAGAAACTTTAAGCATATTCTCAAAAAATAAGACTTATATTATCTCATCACCTTCTAATTTTTACAGCTATAAAACCCACTTTTAAGACTTTAACTGCTTAAGTGTTTAAACTGAAAACTAAGAAAAAGTTAAATTTTAACTCTTCAAATGAAATATAATTACAGTATAAAATTTTTAAAAATAATAGTCAAGATATTTTTTAAAAAACTATCTGTGAATTTTCAGAATATCATGTTAATTAAGACAAAGTTCCTATTTTTAACACATAAAAGCCACATTCAGCCACTGTTTCCTAAGGTAAAAGAATGGACAGACAAAATAAATTTGAATACTTTTTAAAACATACTTTTTTTTTTTTTTTTTTTTTTTTTATTTTACTTATTTTTAAATGCAGAGCAATAACATTTTTTTTTAAGAAACAGGAAAATTTCCTTTAAACAGAGACAAAACAATAAAGGAAGATGAGAAAAATTTTGTATAATCATGCAACAGTTTAATTTTTATTCCATAAAGGTATTTATTATAACAACAAGCATAATTAAAATGATTTTAAATGGCTTAATTTTTTAATAACAAACATGTAAGTATCTTATCACTTTTGCTTATTTTTCAAAAAACTCATTTTTTTTTTTAAATAATTTTTCCTTTTTTTTTTTTTTTTTTTTTTTTCTTTTTTTTTTTTTTTTTCTTTCCAGACGACTATATAATTGGCTAATACTTAAACCATAAAACTCGTATTTAGAATATGAGGATATTATTTATACTATCTTAGTTGCTACCTCCTATGGCATAGTAGCTGACTTATGTAGATTAATCATCCAGCATGCAATAAAAGATTAGGATACATTTTATCAAGATATCAAGAGATTTAAATTCCATGCAATTATTCATCTGATGAGAAAAATGTTTCATGCATTTAATTCAGATGTTTCATAGTTACCAATAAAAAATATATAGTGATTAAAAAACTGCTCATTTTCTAATTACTATAACCAGCTGCGTAAAGAAATGAAAAATAATGTAATTTGATAAAAACACAACACTGAAGATGTATAAAATAAATTCCACATTTTATCAGTTTAGGCTAGATACTAAGCTTAATAAAATGTTTTAACAATATAATATTAAGTAAAATGAAGAGGTATGATTCAGTATTGAAAATTACAGTCATTAAATATCCACTACATTAAACATTTAATAACTCACCAATATTTTTACAAATGAGGGCCATAAAAATGCTTTATTACAGAATAATTCAAACATAATTCAATAGCTTACATTCATTCTCACAGTCAGTCACCCTAGTAATCCCAAGTAGCCCTCAGTTTCTGCTAGGTATATATTTCTAAAATTATTAACATAAATTGAAACGATTTTAAATTTATAATAGAAATAATTTTATCTTAAGCTCCCAGAACCCAAATATTAATGACAAATATAATGCTTACATACAATGATCTAAAATGGTAATAAAAGGCATTTGAAAACATTTTGATATCTCAACAATGGTACAAAAAATAACAACAATTATATAAGAGTCTCTAGTTCAGGATAATTATTGCTTTTCATGAGTATGGATGCACTGCAGTTTTGAATTCTACTTCCTGTCAAAGTTTTACAATAAGCTTCAAAGATGATAATGCTCTATTTAGTATACTGCTTGCCATGAAAAATCAAACAGTTCTTTCACACAAATTAAGTTATTTTCCCTTTAATAAAATTAATGTAACTGTAGAGAGGAAAGCATTAATCATTTTCATTCAGAAACAAAGTTAGATTTTGTTAGAAATTAGATTAGAGAAGAAATACTACAAAGAAAAATATAAACATTATAAATGATGTTAAATTTATTTCTACTCTCTTCTGACAAGCTTGCTTTAAAATTGGCATTCCTGTAAATCGGTGCAAACTAAATAGGCATAAACTGAGGGCTAACTGTAAATTTGTATACTAAAAATCCCTTCATGAAACAATTCTGAATAAAAATTCACTTAATAACACAGATAAGTATAAGGCATATTTTCTCTTATTTTGCAAAGATACAAGCTACCTGTAGTCTATGGCAAACAGTTTCTTTCAAAATGTAGTCAGCAGCAGAGAAAATTAAAAACAGCAAAATATTTTTTTTACTGTTCAAACAGACAATCATAACACTTCAATTACTGCAAAAAACACTTTTAAAGTTTTTAAAATGCATTACTAAAATTTTTAAATATTCAGTTTTAAATTCATATATAAAATGGCAGTCATAAAGACATATGCAGCAAAGCTAACAAGCATATTCTGTGTTTCTTGATCCACCAGTAGTTTTACAATTCTCACAAACAATAACTGGTGTACATTTTATAGACATTTAAAATATGTTCTGCAACAGACATGAAAGATCAAGTGAAGGGAATGAATAAATCATCTGAAGAAATTTAGGCTCAGAACATGCTATTAAAACAAATGACAGAGATAAACCTTATAAAAAGGAGGGAGATAAATTCATAGCGATTCAGTCACAGGGCATGTCTTTTTAAAGACAATTTTAGAAAAAAACTAGCGTATGTTAAGCTACTCAAAGTGATTAAATACTGAAAATATACAAATTTTAATTTTAAAAATGTAACTACTATGAAAATTATACAAGAAATATAAAAGAATTAACATAATATTCAAAAATGCAGAATGCATACCTGTTCATGCTATTTTTAAAAAACGCATTTTATAAGGTCATCAGCTTTTAGCACAATAAATACGTGAATCTCATTCAATCACTACTGATTTGAAACTTTTATTAATCAACTACAACAAAATTTTCACATTTATATGCAATTGTAATTCATTTATGTTAATTACATCAATGAAAATTTAATTTTTTCATTTATTTTAAATGATACATTCTATTCTTCCTGAAAAATTTGTCACAAAGTTCATGCATAATGAAATTATGGCACAACTAATATGCTGGAACAATAATTTTAATAAATGGCTGCAGTAACCAACCAGTAAACCTGACATTAACCTTCTGATGGTCATCAATGAGCTCAGATTGTATTTCAGTTATGCACCACAATGGGTGCAAACGCACATAGCTCATATTACAAATTTATGGCTAACAGATATCACATGTATTTGGGTTAAAAGAACTACTTAATTTCATAACCCCAACTGGGTTAAACCAACAAACAAAACTGTGTAAATAATGTGAATACTTAACTTTTTCTTAGCACATTCACCCATTAGATTATAGAAACCAAGAAAGTTGAAATAAATAAAAATATATTAGTAATATCTGATGATTACAATTCAGTAGATTGCACTTTCATTAATATATCATGATTAATATGCATCAATTATTCATAAATTTGGTCCCTTATTTTAAGGAAATTAATGACACCAATATATAAATTAAGTAGCATACAGTAAAATTTTTCTACTTATTATTATCACATATTTCTCATGGTTTGATTTTAAAATTTAATTTATTCAAATAAAGGAAAATATTTTTTTTTTGAAAAATTTTTTCAATAACACAATAAATGGTTTTTAGAAAACATCAGATGCTGTATTTTTTACACTATTAAACAATATGATCAACACAAATAAAATGGACGTCAAATATACTTATTTCTTTATATTAATACTATGCATTCAATAACGCATTGAAAATACAAGAGTATCTGCATAATAATGTTACATAACTTGACCAACTAAAGCAAAATACTGTTATATTACACAATCAAAAACATAAATCTGTACAGAATATAAAATTTAAATAAAAACTCACAATTAATTTATTATTAAAAAATCAGAACACAGAAATAATTACATGAAAGTCTTAAATTTTTGAAAACATGTTTAGAAACTAAAAAAATACTCAAAACTGAGCTTAATATTAAAAGATAAATGTAGACCTGAATAAGTTTGATACATAGTTATATCTATTGTATATAGTTTTATACGTTATACATGAATTTTATAGATTCAAAAAAATTAAATTTCTTGTTTTTTTTTTTACTAGATTTGACTTTTTAGAAAATATCAGACTGAATATCAGAAATGTGTAAAAAAAAAAAAAAAAAAAAAAAAAAAAAAAACTGAGTGTTTTACAATTACACCTTCATAAATCATACTGCTGCAGCTATAAATAATATTACTAAAAATCAACACAAATCCTATACAGAAAATTATTTACATATTAAAATGGATACACAATACTTGCAATTATATGAAATATTTCTGTGAAGAAAATAAAATTACCTAAAGACAGTTGTTACATTTGGTGGAAATTAAATATAAAAGAATTTTCATGGATGGAGTATTTATGTTAAAAATAAATTAAAAGTTTTCATGAGGCACAAACATATTTTACAAGCACAGAATGCAAGTGAAAACATCAAGCATGATTATGCATGACACATCACTTCTAATTGGCCACATTTCCTAAAGGGATATGAAAATGACTGAAAATATGAAAATGTAATATTAAATTTGCATCAGTTTCACAATCCAGAGGCCAATTTTCATAACAAGGAACTGAGAAATGCTTATTTTCCAGTTTCAGAGATTTGGGCAAAAACACGGAACAGATTTACTATGTTTCATTTCTTTTGGGGTAAGGATGAGATATAGCTTCATCCAAAATAATCTAAGAACCAGTTTGCATGCTACATAATATCTGTTTATGTAACAGATGGAAAAGAATGATTTGTTTCTTATCTGTGTGCGTAATTTTCAGTTCTTTATTTACTCACATGCTGGAAAAATGTTTTTCCCATTTCCTTTCCTGTTAAGTTTCCTTTTAATAATGCATTTAAATACAAACTTTATAATTTAAATAAACATTTCACATTAATATTCTTTTGGTCTTTCCAAAAAATTAGATTTCAAATGATTAAAACACATGACTTAAAAATTTTAGGTTCTAAGCACATTAGCAAGTATATGCGATATAATGCATACAAAAATATTGAAATTTTCTCCGATTGTGGATCTAATGATTGGAAAAGAAAAAGAAATTATACCCCAGGAAATTAAAATAGATGCACACAGTTACTTTTCCAATACTTTAATAAGAGATTAAAACAAGTTAAACAGCAAAACATTAATTTTCATACACACTTGATTCAATCAAATTATCAATTACTTTATTTTGAACAAGTAACCAATGGTATCAGAGCATCTCTCAGGAAATGTCAAGTTATTTTTCGTTAAGTCTTAGATGACTTACAAAAACTAAACAAAAACACATGGGGGCGAAATTGCATACATAATAAACATTTGCATATTTTGTATGATACTTAATATATGTGACTTAAAAAAGTTTTAAGTTTTGTGTCAATAGAAATTATATTTATTTACTCCAAAATTAAATCAATTGATTTGAAATACATTTTGTTTCCATTATATTCAATCACAATCTTAACTCTTGATAGATTTCCCCGAAATATATATGTTAAAATTGGCCTCAGGTTTCGAATTCTACTTCAAAACTGGTTTATTAAAAATACATTTTAAATTTCAAGAAATTTTTAGTTTGACAGGCAACTATTCAATCCTACATTCACTAAAATATTCTGCCTTAGCAAGAGAAGTTACAAAACTAGTAATTTAAGGTAATTCATTTAAATTTCTACCAGAAAATGATCACAAGGAATTTTCATATTTAACTTTAGTGCAAAAATCTTAAATTAAAGGCTCACCTTTATTTAATACCTATAAGTGCACATAATTATTAGCTTTTTTTAATAGGCACTGTTAATTAAAAAAAATATAAATGGTAATCTTATTTAATAAACTTCAACTTCTTATAAGTAAAGAAACACTACTTCATTTTTAGAAGTAAATCTTTTAAACACACTATCACAATATTCTATTTGAAGAAATGGTAACGAAGGACAGATTTTTTTTTTTTTTTTGTTTGTTTGTTCAGGGCATCATAGGTGAATTCAAGCTTACTTATTTTCTTTCCTATTGAAAGTTAAAGCTAAGTCTCTCAATATTAGTCAATCAATTTTTGTTAAGTACCCGTTACAAAGTATATTGTTTCATACCTCCTCAAACTTTCAGCATTACCATATCCCTTTCATTGCACAATAACATATAAGTTAATTAGGGCTTAATATATCACTAGTAGAACTATCCCTTTTAATATGCCTCTTAACTGTCCTAGGGATATTTGTATAACTTTCTTCATCCATTTCCAATGGTTGGGTGTCTTCAGGAACATCTTTATTGCCATCCATAGGTAAGTCTCCCCACCCAAGAGTTGAAAGTCGATCTAATGATATGATGGAAGACACTATCTCTCCAACAGTTAATGTTGGAGGCTGTTCAATGTCTTTTTTGTGCTTCCATGATATCAACATCCAATCCAAGAAAAACAACAACCCAGATGCCACTTTCAGCCCTGAACAGACACCAATGTACCTGCAATTAAGATAAATATGGTTAATAAGCAATAAAAGTAAATTTGATTAGTACAATATAATAGAAATATTATTAATTCTGTCAAATAACTGTACAATTCTTATTTACATTTTCACAAGCCCAGATTTTCGAATATTTAACCTGTTCCATCCAATATACCACCAAATATATTAGAATGATAACTATCACTCTTTTAGCAATACGATATCTTTTTCACTGAGCAACAACATACAAGTTAATTAGGGCTCAGGTTATCACTAGTAAATCTATCTCTTAACGTTCTTCACATCTGTCCTCAAGAAATTTATATAACTCTTTTCTTCCATTCACAACAAAACATAATTTTTTGTTCAACAGATATATTTTAATACCCAGTCTTCAGATGTTCCCCATCATTTAACAATTTTTTTAGTTAACATATAAGGACTGTGTACTTATTTTTAATTATCATTTGGGAAGTTTAACTGTCATATATAATTCCATTCGCTTTTTAAAGCATTTAACCGTAGTTCACAAAATTAAATATACACATTATAAGATATGACTATGTCAAGCTCTTAAATGTGACATAAAACCTTGAATTATAATAAAATATATACTAATATGTTTTCTTTATTAGATGGCATTTAATAGTGATTCAGTTGCAAAATCAAGACATATATATATATATTACATACAGCTAAACAGGCATATGTAGAAGTGGGTGAGAGACTTAAATTTCACCACTAATCATACAGATATAGTAGTACTGCACTAACTGTGCAGCTCTCCAAATTTTGATTGAAAACACCCTAAGGGAATGAATCTGACAGTCTCCCACCCCTCTTAACCTATAGTCACACCACTCAAGATAACTTTCAACTTGCCAGTATTTTACGTACCGCTGTGCTGCAAAGACATTACATGCTTACAAACACCCATGCCTTCAGTGAGATTCAAACACTGGCCCACAATATCGTAGCCACCATAAATAACTACTATACCGATCAAGATGGTCATAAAACTGGCTGTTCACAAATTAAAATATTTCAAATATTTAAGTGTGATGAAGTTACGGATAAGAAAAAAATTTTACTTAAAAAATAAAAGATATGAATACTAATAAAATACATCTTAAGGAAAACACTAAGTAAATCAAATTCAAGTAAATATGAAACATACAATCATAAAATTGATATAAAATGGACAGGTCCATGGGTAATTTATTTTATCACAGTAGTAGAAATTGGACACAGAATTAGCACACTAGCAGAACAGTGCTGAATGTGATTACTGTTAAATAGTTCAAACACTGTTATCAAACTGATGAAGTTTTACCCATTTGTATACAAAAGCATAGAAAATACATTGCTGTGATAAACAAGTGGGTTAACATTACCAAAATATTACAGAAAGAATTTTTTTAAACTGATGAAAAGTTGGCAAATATAATCAAAATATAGAACAGAAATTGCCAACCTTTTGATTTTGATTTAAAGCAGGGATCAGTAAAAACTGCGGCATGCAAGCCAAATACAACTCGCTGTTCATTTTTAATTCAGCCTGCAGGATGATATTTTTATGAATTTTGTATATTGTAACATGAACAGCTTCAAGAAAAGTGAATTTCGCATGGAGATCTCTCAATACTCCCAATTAAAAACTGAGAATAGATGCTCCTTTCAGTCTTATGTAGTTAAACTATACAAAAAAAGCTGTTAATTTAAAGATTTTAAAAATGAAACTGAAATATCAAAATAAATTAGAGTGTCAAACTTATTTATTGATGAGAATAAAAATTAGTTGCAATATTTAACACTTTGAAGACACCTGAGTTAAGTGATGAGGCAGAGTGAAAGGAAAGAGAAAGCATGAAATATTATCAAATTTTATTAGTTACAAAACTGTACTTATACTACCTAAATATGATGAGACTGATAATCTTTAAAAATATCATCTAACATGAAAATCATGCTTTTTTTACATCAGTGTCACATTCTAAGTACGATTATTCATGTTAATTAAGAGCTGTCAGGGAATTTGAATGTCGTTATTAAATTAATTATGACAGCAAATTATAGGAAATTTTATATGATAAAACCATACCTTGTTATTGAAATATGGGATACTTTCCATTATAGGACAATACAAACCAAACAAAAAGACATATATGCCAGCATTGCCTATTAGTCGCCTTTAAATTAAATTAATTTTCACAACAGTGTTCTTGTTTTCAAGATAAGTTAGATGGATGCACAATGGAATGCTAAAGAACTATATCTAAAAATATCTGAAATACACCAATTACTAAACAATACGGAATCAAATGATGAATCATTACAGTGGGCTAAAAATAATAGCATTTTGAAACAAGCCCATTTTAAAATATTATGTGTGTTACCTGTGTGGTATAAAATTCTGAATAAAAAATAAAAAGTTAAGAAATTTATAACATATCTTCTCCCTCCTTCTGTATGCCTTTATGTAACTGGATAACATGTCCAGCTACCATTAGAAGATCTGGTTTTCAAATCCCGGGAATGGCATTCCACATTTATCATGTTCCTGAATTTATATAATCTAACAAGTTTACAAATCCTTATCGAAAACTATACATAACTGTCTACGTAGGCACCCCCTTAATAGAAAGACTACTCTTTCTTTATAGTACCTGAGAAAAAAATTTCTGAATGTATTCTTGGTGTTGGTGTATTTAATTATGGCAAAGCACACGAGGGCTATCTGCCTAAAGGGAGGGATGCCTTTCGTGGAGGACTTTCTAAGGGAAACTGGCTCGTATACACGTTACACAATGGGGAAAAAAAAACCACGAAAACGCCCATGCAGCCAGCCCGTTCGCGGGATTCGAACCTCAGACCGAACTACCAGTGTTCAGCGCCTTTACCGCTCGGCCGCTGGTGGGCCCTGAATGTATTCTTGAGAAATACAAAAGTTAAGCTTTAGAATAGATATATTACTAGAATTTGAGTGGGGAAAAAATGTTAATACATCATTTTCTCAAACATCAACTTGTAAGAAAACTAATTTTTCTGAAAAACATGTGTTCACTGTAGAAATTAAAGAAGTGTTAAATGTTTAGTGAAAAGGATCTATCAAAAGTTACATAAAATATCTTCTAATTTTCAGATTCTAACAGATGAAAAATTAAGATCATTGGATTGGAACTTCTACAGTGGATCATTGGATTCACTGTAGAAATTAAAGAAGTGTTAAATGTTTCCTGAAAAGGATCTATCAAAAGTTACATAAAATATCTTCTAATTTTCAGATTCTAACAGATGAAAAATTAAGATCATTGGAAATCCCAGGAATGGCATTCCACATTTATCATGTTCCTGAATTTATATAATCTAACAAGTTTACAAATCCTTATCGAAAACTATACATAACTGTCTACGTAGGCACCCCCTTAATAGAAAGACTACTCTTTCTTTATAGTACCCGAGAAAAAAATTTCTGAATGTATTCTTGAGAAATACAAAAGTTAAGCTTTAGAATAGATATATTACTAGAATTTGAGTGGGGAAAAAATGTTAATACATCATTTTCTCAAACATCAACTTGTAAGAAAACTAATTTTTCTGAGAAACATGTGTTCACTGTAGAAATTAAAGAAGTGTTAAATGTTTCATGAAAAGGATCTATCAAAAGTTACATAAAATATCTTCTAATTTTCAGATTCTAACAGATGAAAAATTAAGATCGTTGGATTTAATTTAAAGGCATCAGCTTACAACTCAGCAATATATGATCGATACAAACGTTGCCGAAATTCAGTCAGAAATATTTACTTTTAAAAACTTAGCTGTTTCTATAATTCTGGACATTACAGCAGCTACAATGCTTGTATCATTTAAAATAATTCACAAAGGTAATTTAGTTCAATTTGAATTTGGAAGCAGTATTACTTTTACATTGCTAGTTAACCCTTTGGCTACATTTGATGTATCAGTACGTCACGCATTTGTTTGGGTAAAAGATGCATATGACATTCTGATATGTCATTGAAACTGAGACGAGATTTACCCTTTAGCTACATTTGACATATCAGTACGTCATGCATTTATTTGGGCAAAGATGCACGTGACGTTCTATATGTCACTGAAACTGTGACAGGATTTAGCTAGTTTATTCTGGTTTATTTCAAAGTAATGTATATCTGTTGCAATAGAACAAATAATTTTAATAGTTTGGTGAACCTTGTTTGGGATGCACAACCCCATAATGACAGAAATAGAGAATATATTTTATCAAAGTGATAGGGAAAGTTTTAATGAAAGCAGTGATCTTGAATCTGATGAAGAAATTTATAATTATCCTTTAAGCGATAAAGGGGAATTTCAAAATGAAAACAATGAAGAATATATTGAACTAGAAAGTGATAATGATAGTGAAATTATACCAAGACGTAAAAGACACTTATTAAGCAGTGACAGTGAATCTTTGTGTGAAAAATTAGATGAATGGATTTGGTAAGAAAAAGAAAATGTAAATGAGAAGAAAAAGAGTATTCCAGTTTTTGCAAAAACTATGCCACATAAAAGGTTTTTCGATATTTCAAGCTTTTTGCATTTTATGGATAATGAAAAACTAAGTATAGATGATAAAATAAGGAAGATTAGAAATGTTGTAGATTACCTGAATAATAGATTCTGTTATCTTTATATCATAAATAATAAAGTATCTCTCGATGAATCGCTAATGAAGTTCAAAGGTCAAACAAATAATATTCAATTTATTGCTAATAAAAGAGCACATTTCAGTACAAAGTTTTATAAACTCTGTGAATCTTCATGTGACTATTATATGCGATTCAAAACCTATGTCAGCCAGGATAAAGTAACAGGAAGTGATATACCTGCATCTGAAAGTGTAATCATGGAAATGGTGGAACCTATTATCAATAAAGGCTACACGTTGTACAAGGGTAATTGGTATTCATCGCTATTATTGTTCCTAAAATTACTGATGTATGATACAAATGCCGTAGGAACAGTTAA